TGGTGCAATGGTGCATAAAATATAGGTACAATCACACAAAGATATACAAATCACACAAGAATAAAGTACTTTTAAAATATAAATAACTAAAGATAAGAAAAGACACTCTGTACAGAAGATGGGAGTGTATTAATGTAATGCATATATATATAGGGTGGGTATAAGAGTCAGTGTCACACACTTTATAAGACGCTTGTATGTTTGGGTTAACATGTAGTTTCCAACTTATATATATTTTGAATGTTAATATTAATAATAATAATGCCTCCATGGTCAATTGGTGCCGTCCCCCCCTTTCCCCCCCACTATCCATGCCCACCCGCCCGGCAACAGGCCGCCCCTGCCTCCTGCTTCCGCTCGCATTGTAGGGTGGTCGAGAGGAAGGTTACCGAAGAGCCAAAATGGGAGTAGAAATTGAGACCATAACTCCGGGCGACGGTGGGAATTAATCGGCTTTTTATTTTAACACCCGCAACAAAAAAAACAAAAAAACACTCTTATTATGTTCGTTGTTATACATGCTTTCTCCATTTTCTCCCATTTTTTCAGGACAGACATTCCCGAAGAAGGGGCAGCGCGTCGTGGTGCACTATGTCGGTGAGTGTTGGAGGCTAAATGTTTTTTTTCAAAAGGGTATTTTCTTTTAAAAACTAACCGTTAATGTCACGCATCCATGTTAACCGTTGGATGCGCGAGCGAACCGTTGCAGAAACAATTTGAGGCTTCTGCTTCCAACAGCCGTTGGTTAGCATAGCAGCTAGCGCCAAATACCCTGTTTAACAGATTGCTTGGTGTGTCCGTTCGGCTAACAGCAGCTAATGTGATGTTTTAACAACCCGGAGAACCTCTTCTAGCTGATTCAGTAGTTTAAATGCACTTTGTGTTGTCCTTGTTTCGAGGCTTTGTGTAAGTAGGCAGCAGGAGTGGAGCTAACGGAACCGGAGCTAACGGAACCGGAGCTGCTGTCACTGAGCACCGGGAGCTAACCGGCCCCGTGATGCTAACGTTAGCCACTTAGCTCCTGGCAGCTTTAGAAGGCAGCTTTGGCGAAGAAAAGTGGGACTTTTATGGGACTATATGACATCTTCGTGTCACGATATGACATGATAAATAATCCGCGACACCCGATCAGTGTCACGATAGTCATGAAAATATACTCCATGAGTTTTAAAAGTGGCACTAAAAACATACCGGAATCACCTTTACATGTTAATAAACATATACTTATTAAGGCTGCATTTGGTACAAAACATCATATTGAGTTTGAGGATTGTGTGTGAATCATTTTTGCATCACAAATTACATTTTTACACACTAAAAAAGAAACTATTAGAATCATGATGATGTGAAAGAACAGTATTTACTTCATTATAATGCTGTTTTCTCACATTTTTTAACCTTTTGATCAAAACACCACAGCTCTTGCTATTTGCATATTGAACTGTGATTTCAATAATATTTCCAATTAATTGTGCAGCCCTGATATTAATTGCATCACAGCGCCTCATTTTTCTGTGCTTTATTTGGGAATCTATACTATTTCCACACATCCTTTTTATTTTCTTCACTGGCCTGCAAATCTTGTTCCTCAGATATAAGATGTTTGTTCACTACAGACCCAAACAAATCATCACAATTTGAATAGTTTTGTTCTGTGGAAATGAGCATTCCCACTAATGGGGAATCACATAGCAGTCGCAGTATCCCTAATAATAATCGCTTATTGTGCCGATCGTACCGCGATACATTTATCTCAGTATTTCTTTATCGCGATACACAATAATATTGTCTATCATCCCATCCCTAGTGGGACTCATCAACAACCCAAGCTGATCTCTTTTTTTTTCGTTTTTATCAGGCACACTGGCAGATGGGAAAGTGTTTGACTCTTCGAGGTCCCGGGGGAAGCCGTTCAAATTCAAGATTGGACACCAGGAGGTTATTCGTGGTTGGGAAGAAGGAGTAGCCCAGGTGAGGAACTTGTTGTTAACACTGAAAATGATAAAATCCCCACGCATCCTGGAAAACCTGGACATGTTTTGTTCTTTTTCACCTGGAAATTGATTAAATGACCAAATATAAAGCCAGCAGTGTCCTAGAAATGAACAGTTTGAGAGCGAGTGCTGTCCTGAATTGTTAAGAGAAGTATATACGCCTAGACATTTGTTTAAATATGTTATCTGTTGCAGCTACTTAACTCCACAGCGCAGTAATACAAGTACCTTTTTCCATCTTCTCCACAGATGAGTGTAGGTCAGCGGGCGAAGCTGATCTGCTCTCCAGACTTCGCCTATGGCAGCAAAGGGCACCCGGGGATCATCCCACCAAACGCCACTCTCACCTTCGATGTGGAGCTCATCAGTCTGGAAGCCTGAAACTTGTGCACTCACTTTGCTTAATTCCACTCAAATTATCAGGGTGAGACGTTTTATTTGTACCATACTCACGCGGTGGCCAGACGGCGGCACAAATATATGCTGATTTTAATTAAAAACAATCACATATATCGATATTTGCTCGGGAAAAACCCCCAAATGAAAACATTTGACCTCAAAACATTACATTGTTGTGGCACTGTAGTAAAGCATTGAATAGAAATACCTCAAGGTGGGATTAGATGTCTTTTTTTCATTTAACTTAATCCTGTCACTTAGTCTAAAATGTGTTCATAACATCATTAAATGAATTAACATTTTTAACACAGTATTTTTAGAATTAATCTGAATTAATGTGTTAAATTTGACACCAAATTGGGGTTGGCGAGGCGTCTTTTAGGGATGGCAGCTGCCGTCCCTCTAGATCTGCCCCTGGTACCATCACCATGATCATGTGCATCATATAATGTGAAGAAGGGGTAATGTAACTTTAGTATCTCCGTGCAGTGATGAATGCCTCATCACATCAAGCATAAAGCTTTATTTTTTTTATAGCTCTTTTAATGTCTGCTCAGCTACAGTGACTACATTTGGCTTTTGTAACTTCCCCACTGTTGTTTAGAGATTAAATGGTATGTGCATAACAAGCTTTCGCCTCCATATCCTGTAATCCCCTCTTGCTTCTCCTCCTTAATCACAACACTAAGAACCTTTTTTTTTTCTCTCTCTGGTCTCTGCAGGTTGACTCCTATCTTGGGAACATGGAGGAAAAATATTAACAGATGATTCCTGCTCTTGATCCCTGCATAGGACCTATGTCTATAGCTTCACTAGTTCACTCTCCTTTCCATTTAGATACAAATTGTGTTTCGTCACTTGCTTTAAAAACTTTATCCTTCATACTATATTTTAGATTCCATACAGTAATAAGTGATAGGCCATCCCATCCCATGTATTTTGTCATATTCTGCTATGTATTTTTATGGTGATTTTTTTTTTTTTTTATTTGACTTAAAATTTACAAAAATGTGTCTGCCATCAGGACCAGGTTTTAGAGTGTCATGAATATTTAATCAGTCTCATTCTTGTGGCTCTGTGGCCTTTACACTAAAATTGTATTGCGGGTAATGAATTGTCTTGAATAAAAATAAGAATAAATTGTTGTTTGACACAATGATATTTCTATGAATTACCTTTGTGATACTTGTTATTGGGTTAAATTAGAAGAAAAGTCTGAAACACATTGTAACCAGGGATTCATGAATCAAGCACATTATTGCCATGAACAGCCTACAGGTCTCTGCAGATGTAGGATTTCCTTTTTTTCTGTTCTGCAGCGTCAATTCTTAATTTATAAAAACAACTTGCTGAAATATTCACAACTTGACATCATTAGTCTTGTTGATTGCTTGTCAAACATTTGGGGATTTTTTTTTTTTTTGCCAAAAAAAGTAAAAGAAAGAAGTGTTATTTGGTGTCTGGTAAAAGATTTCTAAACGTGCATGTTAAGTTCCCCCACAAAGATTTGTAGGCACATCTTGGGGTTTGTGATTTATCTTTATTTGAAGGAGTTGTGTGTAACAAGCTGTGGATGTTGTAAAAGATCTGTTCCTTACTCTATACACATTAAAAGAGTAATTTTAACACAAACTGCTATTTTCCTTCCATGTGGGTGATTGTATCTCACTGTTTAACCTCAGTATTCCCTTATCATAGACCTTAATTCTCACTGATTTACAGCGCACTGTAATAATAATGGAAAAACAGATGGAAGTATATTTTATTTTCCAAGAAGAGAGGAAACATTCAGGGTATTTCTGCAATATTTAGTTTCTTGTGCAATTACTGTACAGTTACTATTTCATTGTGTACAAGGTGTACTTTCACATATCTGAGTCCAGGTTATGCAATAAGATGTACAGAGAGGAGGATGAGTGACATATCGATCAATTCTGAACATGAAGGGAATGTAGTTGCCAACAAATTGAAAATAAAATAGAAGTTTAAACAAAACTGCTCCAACCACAGATAAATTACAGTTTATTTCCATTGAAGTTTGAATTTGCACTAACAGCTATTCTTCTGCCTTAAGCTGAATAATTGATTAAACAACTAGTGAACCTTATTGTAAAGATACCAAGATACCTGAAAGCTAAAACATTGCTCTTTTTTTATTTTTTTTTGCATAATAAGGCAAAAATTGGTAGCCATACGTGCTGTACATCATTGTTTGTAGTTACAATTGAGCCATTTTAGTCGACACACAAAAGTGCCGCTTATAAGATGAGTATTTCACAACTATGATACACACTGTACATCATTATTATAAACTGCAATACAGTGCTATGAAAGCGACCAACACTGATGCAAAGAATAACTTCTCAAGTGTTAATCTTTACTCGCAGCTGTGCAAATCTTCTTTGTTTCATGTAAAATTAGAAAATATATCACTGTATCAAAATCTCTTCACAAATTCAGTAAACAAAACTGCTCATCCAAGTCTTTCATTCATTCAGCTGTGTGGATCACAAGCTACCGTATGTCAAATCTTGTAGCGATCTCGTATAATCTATTTAGAAATGTCCAGATGGTGCACATTTCAGGACTGGAGCAGTTAAAGTCAGGTGCATATTAATGCCCCGAGTCACACACCCACCTCAAGGCTTTATTTTTAGATCCAAACTGCTATAAAGGCTGTCTGCGTTATGTAAATTCAGGACATAAACTGCAGATTTTTTCTGTAGGTCATTAAAACATTCTAATTGATTTTAGTGGAAAAAAATAGTGTGGATGTTGAGAGCAAATGTCCCAAAAAAAATCAAAGAAATGGAGTCTGTACAGTTTTAAACTCCGATGTTTTGTTTATTGGCAAAAGATCAATAATCTGTCTGTTCTGCACCTGAGTAGATTCGATGCACATGCTCTACTTTTCAGAAGGTAAACGTCGCAACAGCTTTTAAACCATATTCAATATTTTCATGGGTGGAAATGACTGGAGTATAAAAATGAACCTTCCACTCACTGTGCTCTGTAAATTTGAACTAATCAGGTAAGTGCTGACTGTAATTTATTTTTCTGATTTTGTGGGACGTTGCTGAGGTCGAAGAAATTTTATGACTCTCCCATTCCTATTTCTAAAAGAAGTTATGATGAAAATAGAGGAGCATTCAACTTCAGACAATATCTCTTCTTTTCATAAAATAAACTGCATTTCTTTGCCCAGAAGATGGCTCATCTAAATCCAGGTAGGGGCTTTTTTAATTCAAGCAAGGGAACCCAATCAAACTGTGGGCTACATGCAAATTCCAAGAAGAGAAAATCACTTAAACAGCAGGCATAAGCCGTAAGTATATTTGAGTAATGAAAGTATTTAATAATGTACAACTAATCCTTTGTTCTCTAAGGCAAGGCATGACCACAAAATCACAAGGGCATTATGTAAAATCTAAAAATCTTTTAAGAGGAGATGTTCAACGCATGGCAAAGACCGAAATATAATGACGTAAAGTTAGCGTTTGCTGTGGTTGCAGAGGTTGGGAGTTGTGTTCTTGACGTCAGAGGGAGCAGAAAGTCTCAGATTGGTGTTGTTCCATTCATGCTGGCGGGCCTGCGTCCCCTTCCTGCACCCCGGCGTCGAAGTGAGTGGAGGGCCACGGCACAGCACCCCCTCAGCAGGGACCCGATATGATACACCGGCAGTACTTCCCGTTGCGTCCCTCTACACAACCACGCCATGGTTGGGACCACCGGCATGGCCAAAGCCAACAGATCTACAAGGAAGTAGCGGCTCCAGTGGCAGAGCTGAGGGGAATACCCGTCTTCATTTGTGCCTTCAGGTTCATCCACATCGCCCTCTTCTATGTCCAGTACCGTAGCTTCCTGCCTCACTGGAAGCGGAGCTGTAGGGTGTGGCTGGCAGGTGTGAGGCTCTGCTGGCGTCTCTGTAACCTCCTCTGGTTTGTCGGGCGGTAGCGGGTCTAAACTGTATGAATGCTCGGGAGGGGACACTTGTGGTAAAGACGATGGAAACAGATGTGGTTCTGAGGGCATGATGTCTGCTGTGGTTAAAGAAATGACACTCAGATCTTCGGCACCGCTTTCCTCACACAGCCAGGTCATGGTCGGGCTGCAGGCCTGGGAGCGAACCTCTGGCTTCTTCTCTGCTGCAGGCGTAGGAGTAGGGATAGGATCAGAAGCAGGGACAGTTGCCACAGTTACCGGGGCCTCCTCCTGAGGTAAGTGCAGGAACAAGTGATGATGGGGGAGGTAGGTGTGGCCACTGCATGTGCAGCTGCTACTGAGAGTGTGGCAGGAGTGTGAGATTGGCAACACTGCCCCCCCGGTGCACAGCCTTTCATAAGTGGAAGAGCGCGGCACAGTTGGGGGGCCTCGGATGTGGCCCTGTGGTGGCAGCTGCTCCGAAAGGAGGGCCGCCTCCAGAAGCAGGTGGGTTTGTCCTGCTGGGCGAGACACTCTGCCTGATTCGGGTGCGTTCGGGCTGCGCTCCAGCTGCAGAGCCTCGCTGCTCAGTCGGGTGTGGGTGGTGTTGCGGCTCAAAGTGCTGGCAGGGGAACAGCCACAGGAGCGAGACTTCCCCCCTGGCCGAGCTCCCTGCAACCCTGAGTATGGCTTGTGGTCATGGGGGTCTTCATGGACAGTCAGGTTGGACCTTACTGTCTCAACCACTTCCTGAAGGTGCTGGATCTCTTTGCGGGCCTCTTTCAGGGCTAACTGTGCCTCCACACGGTGACATTCCTCCTCTATCCAGTCTTCCTGCATCCTGTACAGTTGGGTCCTCAACTCATCTATTTCACAGTCCCTAAAAAAGTATAAAAAATAAGTAATTAGCAGATTTACTTTCTCTTTTACAGAATCAAAACATATTCAGCAAACAGGACACCGAAAGACTTTGGAGACCACCAAGCACCACGATACTTGAAATAAAAAACATTATTTACTAGTTACCACAAACGCATAACAACCAGCAAAACACTAGAGCTAAAGGTAAAAAGACTCACCTGTGTTGTAGTCTTTCCACATTGTCCCTCAGTCTGGCTCGCAGGTGACGTATACACACCTCCTTCTGTTGCAGAGGTGTGAGGTACTGCTCTGGGGTCGGAGGCCTGATCCCATGGTTGTCACTGCAAGCTGTGTGCTTTGCCTGACGCCTGAATCAACACACAGATATTAAAAGGTCACATAATGTGCTTTGCCTAATCACACATTAAAAAGTAAAGAAACCAGGTGGTGGATTGTACAAAGCCTGTGTCCGTACATAACAAATTAACCTTGTGCGAATGAAACTGCTGCTGAAATTAGCCCTGGAAGCAGTGAACAAAGCGGCTGTATACAAAAGTAGTTTTCAAAACAGCTGAAATTAATTAAATATTTCACGTAATTAAAAGTTCATTGAGTACAACTATGCAATCCCACGCAATCCAATCTAATAGCCCTGCAAGAAACCCTAAGTGAAGCTTACAGTGGTCAGTTTTTGTTGACATTGTGTCAGTGATCTTTGATTCAACTCCATAGTTATTTTAGAGGCTGGAGCTTGTGGTGTAGTTTAATTATATTACATTATACAGAAATGTGTTAATAATATTGTCCATCACAGGGCAAACACAGTTCAGTCAATTACATTCACATCCACTGTAACAGCCTCCAGTCCATCTGACTTCACTGTCTTTAGATTACAGCATCTTTACAAGCAGGGACCTGATTAGAGGCAGGTCTCCTTTACTAGCCTGCTGTGGCGACACGTTTTGACAAGTAAACGCAAGTCTCAATTAGACGCCTGGTTTGGATTTTATAGAAATTGTTTGAATGTATAAAACCCCCTGAAATCCCACTGGGTCACCCACTTGAACGAGTTTTAGGCTGCTTAGATCGGCTACACCAATATACATGTTTAAACATTTGTCAATGTGGACCTCTGATCAGTTAGATTCTCCTCAACTCAATTGCTCAGTTCATTTTACAAAAACCACAAGCACCAAAATATCTAATGAATAATTCGTAATTAATATGTTATTCAATGTTGTATGTTTACTTTTGTGCAAACGTAATTAAAGGCCTGTTCCAAATAGACGCAGGTTGAGTTCAGTGATTGAAGCAAATAAAAACCCAGGCTATTAAATGAAGTTTTACAGTATGTGAAGGAGTCTTGAGAGCATGAAAACTCAACAGAGAAAGATGTGGGATAGCTTCTCTGAACAATGAGCCCCTTATATCACCCTGCTTTTAAGAACAGCCACATATTAAAATATTAATATAACAAAGAGAAGTTTATGATTAATATCTCACCTGGGTGTACTAGGATACGTCCGGGCTGTGGGGCTGCCCTCTACGGCCTTAACCCGACCTGGGTAGGTGTGGGTGCTGGATGTATCGCTGTGGGAATATCGCCCACTGCCGCCACCAGTGCCCACTGAGCGCCTTGAAGGAAGAGATCAACATTACACTCATTTACAACACGGCCACAGTAGCAAATATTTGTGCGTTCATTCTGAAAGGTGTGAGAAGGCCGCAAACAGTACCTGCGCTGACCTGAGGAGGGCTTTCGACTCGGAGTGAGAGACATTGATGTGCAAGAGACCTCCAACCTCTCCACTGCTGCCTCTAGACAGGGACGCTAGGATCCCTCACAGCTGGACTGCAATAACCATTACATAAAGATTTTAGAGGCAAAACCTGCAAATCCTATCTCAATATGATAGAAATATCCCAAAACAATTGAAGGAAAATCCCAGCGTAAAGCATAAATGGTTTTACTCCAACATACTGGTCATGATGTGCTTCTTGACTGGTAGTCAGTGACAGTAGTCTAACCGTAACTCTGATATAAAAAATAGTCTAGGCCGGCAGCAAATAAAGCCTCCTTTCTATGCTGACACAAAGGGGACACAGTGAGTTCACAGTGAGTGCAGCTGTCTCTCTCTCTGAGCTGTGTCCTCTCTGTCTGCAGAGCTGCAGATAAACATCATAAACCTTCACATTAACTAAAGGGCAGAAATAATGAAAATCCGGCATTTGGGGTCTGGTAGTTAAAATGGTCTGTGCGGTTCATTTCCTGCCTACGGTAAATTAAGAATTTGAATCATCACCGTTATTAGTGCAGGGGTGGGATTCATGTATGATTCAGGCTCATTGTGTCCTGTAATGGAGTCATAACATTAGAGGTCCCTACATCTTGTGCTGCTCCGTAAAAGCAGCACTGTAGCCAGAATTTTAGAAATACAGAAGTCAGACATCTAATTATTTGGATCTTCTATTTTTAATTTATCCAGTAAATTGTTCAATTATATTGTCTGTACTTGTTCATGAAGCAAGAAAATTGTGGAACATTAGTTCTTTACAGCTTGGTATTGAATCCTTAATATATTATGACTCTTGGCTGAAATGTATCTGTAAGGTAGAGTATTGAAAAGAGACAAGTATTGAAAGTTGTTATTGAATATCTGGTCAGAGTTTTAGGCTTATTCACATATCATTTGATTATTATCTCAATTTTATCTAACTTTAGACTACATTTTATGTATCTTTTTATCTTTTATCTCTATTAAACTGATACATGGAGCAGTTTGATATTGTTGAGAGTAGAAACATGTTTATATTCCCCAAAGTTTGGTGTCCTACAGGCACTGATGGGGACACTGAGGGGTGCTGAAAGTCAATTTATATAATGACGTCATACTAAATGCTAAATGCATGACATTCATTGCTTCTGCATTATATTAAATGACCAAAGTCATTAATAACCTATTTCATAATTATTAACAACATTTTATAACTTTTTTGCAGATAAAACACATTAAAAACACAGCAAAACCTCTCAGTTTGACCATTTTAATGAATAATGGTTTTCATTATACCAGATTTTAGTGGGTGCTGCAGTCCCCCTTACTATGGACAGCCAACCATATTCCTTAATTTTGTTGCCTTTTAATTTTTGTTGTCATATTTAAGTGTTTTAATTATAGAATGTAAACTAAATTAGATTAAAACTCTAAAACTCACAGAACAAACACAGATGACATGACCTCAGTTATCACCTATTATTTATGTTTTCTCAGGATTAGGTAGATCTGGCACCACCCCAGTTAAAAGCTCACTTCTATGACACAGGGAGAAAGAATAAAAAGCTGAGGACAAAATGTTCCTTTAAAAGTCCCTGGCTTCATGCAGCTCTGTAGGGAACCTGCTGATCCAGGCCTCAAACATACCTGCTGCAGGATAAACCTTTAGTGGCTGCACACACAACAGACCTACTCTACTGAAACTGCACATCAGCCTAAACCAAAACAGACAGCATATTAATGTTGTCCTATATTTAAATTCTAGGACGACGAGACGGGAAATCTCACCCCCCTCTCTTCATCATCTTCTGTCTGCGCAACAAGTGGCGAGTACGTTATTGGTGAGAAATACGCAATCATCTTACGTAAGTGTGAGTATCAGTGTTTACTGTGGAGGCGAGCATCATACAGTGGGTGGGTGAAACTGCACTTAAAGCAGCATTTAGACTTCAAACGGAAACAAGATAGCTGAATGTTTTCCGGATTCATCATCGTATCAGAAAGATGCGGGGATGTTGCGCTTCGTCCTTGGATAACCATTATAAGCTTTTTTACATGTGTCGCCTACAATAAAGCACTGTTAGATAAGCAGGCTGGGATGATAAAAGAAAAAGAAAAAGCATTTAAAAGAAGTCTTATGATTTGATTAGCCAGCTGACAACAGAGGGAGTCTTTAAACAGGACATCTAACAGCCCAGCAGATACTTTCCATAAAGGAAACCGCAGCTCATAAAAAAAACAGCTGACTAATAACATCTAGTCCCAGCTGTGTCCTACATACAGGGATATTATACCCGGTGTCTGAATCCCCAAAACAAAACCTTTCTAGTGTCCACACACACACACACACAGCCCGCCCCACATGAACAGCCTTACATAAAAACTGTCACACTACCATCTCGGCAGGTGGAAGTTGAGCATCGTAAAAGAGCCTCGGTTCCCGCCAGACTTGATGGTCGCTGAACAGTCTCCGGTGGCAACAGGAAGAAAAGATGCTGCTGATGCTGATGCTGATGAGGGTCCATCCTGCAGCCATGAAGCCCGGAGATGAAATGAGGCGACTGCGTCTGCTGCATCGGTGCTTCTTAAAGTGACAGTAGGGGATAACGATGCTTCATCTGGCGGCACCTTAAATGCACATTAGCGTTTATTGACGGCGGCTGGGATAATACTGTCTGATGGTACTTTAGAAACCCTGATTCAGTGCAGCACTGACAGGAGGTAGGATGATGAGAGCCCCAAGCTGGACTGGTACACCGTGTTCAACCCCTCAGATGATGGATGAATGTGCAGAGGATCATTTAGTGACTAAAGTTTTGCTCCTTTGAAAATAGGTTTAAATTAAAACTGTGTACAAGCATGCATTTATTTTAATACAATCGTCAAATCACACAAGCCATAAAAAGATATTTACAATTTCAGTTGAACACATTTAAAATGGCTTAAACTCTTAAATTATAGACTTTGTACATACTGAACTCCAAGAACATGTGGGAAATGGGAATGTCACTGAATTCCTATGCCTTCTAAGCATATGATCTCTATTACTCTTACGATACGCACCTGTGATAAAAACAAATATATGTAGCTTTCCCCTGAATGTGTGAGCATAAAATGGACGACATACACAAGTTGTGGGCTAATAAATAACTTTGTGAGTCTATTCACACTGTACAATTTAAACACCAGTCACACCATTTGTTGCTCATACAGCTCAGTGCTGTACAGAAGCCGAGATCTATCTAGACCACAAGAATGACAGGCGGATATATGACTGTAATATCAAATAAATATATGCTACCTGCTGAAAAAGAACAATGTTAAATAGATGTACCTGTAGTTCGTTTACATTGAAATGTTAATTTTTCTCTCAGATAAAACCCAACAGGGGGTTTAATCGACATTTGGTGCCTAACGGCTCTTACACAGAGTGGGTGTTCTGTGTATTCTGTGTTTAAAATAAACAGAAGAGGAACTGGTTTAAAACACTAACTGAACATGCAGGAAATTTCAGTCACGAAAACACCTCAAGAAAAAACTGCTTAGTATCAGAAGTTGCCGATATAAATAGTCCTTCATTGATACCGTTCCAATTCCTCACAAAGGAAAAGGGCCAAGAACAAGCACAAGGAGTATGTACAAGCTTTGAGACACACAAACAAACATACTAACGTGTGTGACAGGTTTTCCCAGTGAAGTAAACAGAAAACTGATGTAGTAACACGAACATGTGCTACTTGTGCATGAGGCAGATCCAGCAGAACCAGGACTGCAACTCTTTTATGAACATGTAACCCGAAGCTTTAATTCTCTGGAACGATTTTCTGTCGCACTACTCATAGAAGCTGGGTCCAGGTGTGACAGTGATGTCCTCATAGGGTGCGCTCTGGTGCAGGTGAAGGGCTTTTTGTTTGATCAGGACCAGGAGACAGAAGAAAGTGGTTGCAGCCTGCCAGCGATTGCCTCCTTCGCACAGTGCCTCCAGGCTGAACGTGGTGTCACCGTTTCTCTGAACAAACACAAACACACACACAAGAATTTAATTTCCCCAACATCCTCCCTAATCCGGCCTCAACTTTCTCATCTTTAAATCCTTGTCCGCTGTGACTATAGATTTTTATCTGTCATACAGTGGGAGCAGGGAAACAACATTCAAGGCTCCCCCAGTCTTTTAAATGAATCTTTTCTCGTTTTTCTTGACAATACAGGACAGCTCTCGCTCACCAGCGCTCATATAATTTCTGCTGCGGTCTCGGTGAATTGACTACAGTTTAGTAGTCGAATTTATTTGATGTTACAGAAAGTGGAAGTGTTTGTTGCACATAGTTAACATCACTGTTTGTATGTTTTTTATGTTTTATTTATCAGCCACAACAACAAATGTACATTTGATCATTGCCTGCATGTAGATATGATCGTCTACAGTATTTCCAAAGGGCTTCTCTGAGAATTCTGCTCGTCGACTCGACACCGGAAAGACCGTTCCACTTCGTGTCTGGTAAACCTGCTGTGAATTGTCCCGGAGTTTATCCTACCAGTAGTTAAGTTTCAAGCAAAATCCGGCCCTACGTTTATGTAGGTGACCTAAGTGAAGGGCTCAAACCCAATCAAACATTTCAAAGACAACATAGATTATTTCCTGGATATTTGGTCATTTTAATTAATTTCCAGGCGTTTCAATAACTTATGAATGGTTACAGTCCTGTGTCCTGAATATGCAGGCTTTACAAATATATCATATAGTTGATATATGCAAGACAGGGGCAGTTGGTGTTACTGTGACTACCTGAACATTTATTTTTAGGTACTTACTTTTTTTAGAGAGTTCAGAAGCTTCTGTGCACGCCTGGATGCCTGGACACCCCTCTCCTCAAAGTCCTGGCTGTCCAGCATAGACTGCAGGTTAGAAAAGGGATTTCAGTCAGTGATGCTGGGCAAATCTCCAAGTCAGCATGGGAAATTAACACCCGCCATCTGGTAAACGCTGATTGTCTTGTCTAGCTTGTCTATCGTAACAGCCATTTTTGCAGATAACCATCAATTATTTGTTCACTTTCATTCCAAAGATAAGGAAAGTAAAATGTGGAGTCAGAGTTTAATTCCCTGCCCTGTTTCTATTTGTAACGGTCTGTGTGTGTTGACAAGCACCTGAGTGTGAAGGGAAGTTGACTGAGTCTGCTCCACATGAGATGGATGGACAAACATGGAGTCTTCTGATGGAAGTTCTGGATGAGTGAACTCTGACCTGTTTCCATCCTGACAGACACACAGCACAGATTATAAACTAAAGACAAAAAGGAACTACAGAGAATCACATCTTGTTCAACGTACATACCTTCTCTTCACCTGACATGCTGATGCGTACTTACTTGTGCGAGCTCTGAGTAATTCTCACGTTGACTGTCGTTCATGTGATCGAAGACTGTCAGCTCAGTGTGGTGTGTTTTTTCAGTATCTATAGATGAATCTGCGACACTGACGTCTGTGGTGAGGGCACTTATGTTCCTCTGAGCTATATGAGAAATATAATTGTACAGAGGAAGAGCAGAGAAGAGCAGATAACAGTTAAAAATAGTGAGATTACAGTTCTCTCAGCTCTCCTGCTTAAATATGCAAGTTCCTACCTTCTTGTCCATCCTGGCGCATCTCCTCAACCTCCCCACACGCACTGCAATATTTCACCTTGAAAACAGTCTTGATAAAGAGCTGCAAAGGCAAAAAGGGATTGAACAGTCATTTTACTTTAATGTTCACTATTTACAGATTCACCGTCTTTTAGAAAAAGAGATGTGTTCATCTTTTTACCTCCTTTATCTGTGGCGTTAGTACAGTGGAACATGGCCGTGAAAAGAGTTTGTCTGCACCTCCGTTCTCTTTCCACTGCATGAGCTGCAGGGTTGGGGGGGCCATGTCCAAGGGGACGACCAGATCTGAATAGTCCGAGAGCTGGTCTCTGATTGATTCATTGGTCAGCTCTTTAGTCTGGTCCACAACCAACTTGCGTTTCCTCTTCCCCTTCTTCCTCTCCGAGTTCGCTAAAAAGAAACAGAAGCTCAGAAGAATACCTACTGTTTGTGTGACAGGGAATGGACACCAGGTCAACTGTTTAAGACTGTAGTGAAGTGCTCAGAACATCTCAGTAAATGTTTGCATACTATAAAGCACATTTGTGAGTGGAAGGAACACAGTTTGAGAGTTTGGTTGTGCCTACGAGTGATGGCCACAGGTTCAAGGGCAAAGGCCTTCTCCTCATTAGCAAGCAGGGTGGTCTCATTCGGTGTGGGGGTCTCCACCTCCATCCTCTCAGCATCCGGAACGCATATGTAGTCTGAAAGAACAAAACGTGACAACTTTATCCACTGGTGCTGCTGTACCATCAAACAAAACCATAATCTACACAAACAACCAGTGCTGATAAGACAAAATACGGTCAAAGCATTAATAATGAACTGTAAAATATTCATCATGATGAATCAGCACCTTGTTGACAATCTGGTGCAGAGATCTCTGGAGCATGTCGAGGCTCTTGTGGGATGAAGTCGGTGGACTGATCACTGGAGATCGTCAGAAAGTCTACAGAGTAATTAAAAGAATCAGTCTTACTTTTAGCAGAATAAAACACCATTGACATAATAAGGGCAAAGATGTACAGTAGACGAAGGAGTGCAGGAAGAATCCTTTTCTTATTTGATTATCATTTATTGGTTATCAAGAACTACTGAATGCTTTGTATTTGACAGTCTGGAACTTTTCAAAGACATGGCCCATGAACACTGGTTTGTGCTTCCTCCCCAAATGAGAGACAAGAGACAGTCTAGCCTCACAATCCCAGTATACTTGTGAAATCAAATATTTCAGAAATTCCTTTTCACCGTGTTAAGAGATAATTGTTCTACAAAGGCTGACTTTGGAGGACGCAGCCTGAGAATTGGGACATCGTATCAGGTTTGCTAAAGTAATTTCCTTCAAGGTTTCAGATGGGTACATACATCTTTGGGCCAAAAACCTACACTGAAAAAACACCCCTGGTTTCTATTTCTCACACTTCCACAAATCTGTCTCAAAATGAAGTCTGCCATAGTACTTGCCTAGTTTAGTGAAAGGTAAAAACAGACTATTAACAGCAGTAAAACAAGTCAAAAACACAAGGATTGCTGTTTTCAGTGCATGATGTTCGTTAGGCTAAAATCTGGCAAAAACGTATCCTGATCAATTCACAATCACTACCGAGTAGATCGAACCCTTTATCCTCATCCCCAAAAGTGTCTCCATGTTGAGCCAGGCTCTGGAAGCTCATATCCAGTAGTCCAGTTTGGTGGCTCTGGGACTCATCTCCTACACATCAGACCACACAAAAGGAGGCAATAATTCATATAAAGTCAGTATGAGATGTCCGCTGTGCGCAGAAGAACACGCTAAAGTTCATCCTAATGAAGAAACATGTCAGCTAATGAGATAATATTGTTAATTTATGTGATTTTGGAGCACAATGGGGGTCTGAGGCACAGAGGAATAATCTATATCAGGCTTTGGCTCCACAGAATATATAAAGTATTATTGTTGGTTTTCACATTTTAATGGGATTTGTTATCAATAAAGAAAATATAGAATATCACCGGATGTATCTTTAAGTCAAATTACAGGAGTAATGCAGGAATAAATGAATGCTGAATATACCAAAAGGCTCTACAATAACTAAAATATAATTCCATAACGATGCTCTGGCTCATCCCAAATGATAACGTACTCGTTCTTACCAAAATATGCAGAGTTCAGAAAGCCATTTCCAAAATCCTCTTTCAGAGTGATTTCCTCTGATCGACTCTGGTTCAGTGAAAAGTGGTCCACAACATCTATGTTACTGGTGTCCCATCATGACGTGAACATAGTGAAGACACAGACAGAACATTATTTCATTATACACAAAGGGCATTTAACAACCTGTACCTTATTTTCCCATGTTTTTGTGTCAAAGTGACTAGTGGGAACAGCAACTCTTGGACTTGGTAGTATTAAATGAGAGCGTGGAGCCTGCCATTACTAGTGCTTGTTTTTGCCACCGACAGACTTGGGCATAGAGTCACAGCACCCACAGGGAAACCACCCGTCTCCCCGAGCTTTGCAGCCTTGCAACAGCTGGTTCTCTCTCCTCGTCCACTCTTCAGTTTGTAGTCTTTGTCCGTAAAGTTCGGCTCAAATAAATACAGGCAGCCGTTACGTTTAAAGGTCACATCCAAATCAGCTAAATATTCAGCCACGGCATTGAAAATCTTTTACGTAACACTTAAAAATAACAAACTCTTCCTGGCCGGCATTACTACGCTTTCCACAGTTGTTTTCCTGCAATAAGTCCCGTCACAAACTTGGTTAGACACGCAGCAAATCAAGTGAAGCGTTTCATTTCTCTGTAGAGTCGTGTTGTCAGAAACTTCTGGCAAAAACAAGCACTTCCTCAATACTGGACCAAATTCGACTTGTTGTCCGCATTAGTCACTCTGACACAAAACATGGGAAAATAAAGGCCAGGTTAAAGACATCAAAGTCACCGTTTAAAGAAACGATGGGTGATCCGAATGAACATAACATAACATCATTTATAACATCAGTAAAGTTTGTAATCCAAGTATGAAACCTCATTCTTTTCTGTGTCTTAGAGTATCTTGAAAAGTGCTCTGTACCTCGGGTCTGGCAGCTGGACATCAAAGGCAGTGAAATCTTCGACCAAGGTAATTGCTTTTTGCGCAGCCTCGAGCTCCTCCACGGGCATATCAGTCTGACCTGGTGCGTTGAGAAAGAGAAACAGGGCAAATAATACAAAATACGTACTGCATTGAGAAAGAGAAGAGGTATGAACAGCAGCCAGCTATCTAACTGCAAAGATATTTCTTTGGAAAAGATAGAAAAGAGGAATAAATAAATTACAGGTAGTGTGCGGTCACTTTCAAGGGTTCTATCAAAGAGACATCTGGATTTATCGATTAATTCTTCATCATACACAAGTCAGCTGAGCTTATATAATAATAAATTAATTCAGTGAACCTCCTAGTTGGTTGTGTGGTATAAGATTATTTTTTTGCCTTCACTGTCTCTCAGATATTGTACAAAGCACAAATCATACATGCATATAACTGCCTTGCACCAGAATAATGTGGTAAAGTAATTATGTCTGTCACCCTCTGGTGGTTGTCTTCTTTAAGGAAAGTGTTTACAGTTTATTAAGTATATCTAGCTGAAACTGTTGCAGTCTAACACAAGAGTTCTGCAATTAATCCTATCTTTGTGAAGGCTGAGAGTTCAGGTTTTGTTTTAAAACTATTTTAGAAAAATATTGATTTTTTTTGTATTATGTTCTACTGGCAGGGGTTTTTATTATTTTTTCAACCCTATTTATGTTAATGAGTGTGGGCTAAATAAGACACACCTCTTTCTAAAATGCCATACAGTTCAACAGCACCGCAGACAGCGTAACATTAAATCAATAATGCATTGTTTAGGACGCATTAGTTTTAGATATACGCAAGAAACTGGCAACTGAGTGCATTTTCATTTGAGTACATGTATTCTGCATTACAGTGACTCCATTTCTCATCCTTTTATCCGACCACTTGCATTTACATTGTGGAGGAAAGGCAAGTTTCTGCAGTGTTAAATTACAGGCAGGGTTTAATGTATTCAAGAAGAGCTTTCACATTTACTAAACAAAAAAAAACATCCACTCTGGTTAAAATTACACATCACGTACAGATGTTTTCCTTTTACCTACAAATGCATCCAGATGGTCATAGCTGTCATTCCATACCCCCTTTTTTTCTTCAAAAATAATAACCATTTCAGCCACACCACGGCCCTGTCCATCCCTGTGGTGCTTTTATTTGTCACTGCAATTTAAATAATTAAGCACGACGCTGTCAAAACAAACAGGCTTGTGTTACCTTACCTGGTCTGAATGCCATTTTAATTTTAACCAGGGCATCACTGCAGTCTGCAAGGAGATACTTTGCTTTTCTGGAGTAGATCCTGACCACACCAATGAGCAGATGACCAGATGTCCTCAAACCAATTCTCATCTGCAGAAATCACACAGGTTGCACCTCAGACAGCTGTCATAAATTAAATATTAGACAAACTGGGGGGGTTTTTTAAGATGCATTTTGACAACTGGGTGTTGCGATAACTGAGGAGATGTGGGAGGACATCTGGGATAATGCAAGGAAACTAACTGTTTGTAACC